GGACAACCAATGAGTTCGTTATATCATGGTTGTTCATGGTAAGAACGCGTTTGTGATAACAATACACAATACCATATTCAAATCATAGAGCTTGAACTCATTATGGATGAGTTACTTTCATCTTAATAAAATGACAACTGAATTAATAAATAGAGGAGGCTAACATCCAAGGAAGTGCCTTAACAACCTTAAAGCAATCACAATTATGAGAGAATTATGGGGTTGCTTAAATATCATTAAGATATAATGGTATTTACTTAACAAGAAAGAATAAAAGAATTTGCTACCTAAACGTGATAATATACAATTTTGAGGTACAGAAAGCTTTAGATATCTTTCTTTAAATACCTTAAATGTAGGGGAAGTCTACTTCCTAGTGTTAGCAAATTACTTACAAAAGTCCCAACATATGTATACTTTTGAGGACTTGAAATTGAGAAACAGCTACTCTCGTATGAAATATAATTTCATAAGATGGATTGTGCACACCATTAAAGATATTCAACCTAAATGGTACCAAATATTAAAGGTTTGACTATAGAGTAAGTTGATCATTGAAGGAAATGAGGCTAAAGCCAACACAACTAATGAATCAGCTTAGCGAAACCTTACTTAGTTGATTCAAGATCCCATGGTCTAAGTTCAATAGGCAAACTGGTTGGGCATGATTCAAAGAAGTTAACACACTATATACCTCATTCTTATGATGGAAGAGGACTTGAAATTGAGAAACAACTACTCATAAGATGGATTGTGCACACCATTAAAGATAGTCAACCTAAATGGTATCAAATATTAAAGGTTTGACTAGAGAGTAAGTTGATTATTAAGGGGAATGAGGCTAAAGACAATACAACTAATGAATCAGCTTGGTGGAAACCTAACTTAGTTGATTGAAGATCCCATGGTCTAAGTTCAATAGGCAAACTGGTTAGGCATAATTCAAAGAAGTTAACACACTATATACCTCATTCCTATGATGGAAGAAGTGTGTTGTCTGCAGAAGATTTAGGATGTATGTTTATACTTAATGACAATGATATCTTATAAATAAGAGGAATATTGCAGAGTATTCTTAATCAGTTGTCACCTATGTAAGAGTATAAGTGGATTGCTTCTATGAGTATGAGATGGCTAAATTCACTAAAGCTCTCATGAATCCGAGATTTGTTTAAGACCAAAATGAATACAACCGTATGAACCAGAATATATTAGGATTAATGATGTGTGTTGCTTATTGTCTCGGTTTACTACCGCGGTGAATAGTTCAAGATTCCATATCCACTGCATCACCAAGTAAATCTAATAAGTATTCACTAAGATAGGTTCAAGTCCAAAAGACACCTCTCCCGATGCATCTCTTGTCCGCTTGTACTCTCAAATTCTTCCTAATTTTTCATTCATGTGGGGGATTGTTGGAAATTATATATTATAATATTTAATTATAATATTTAATTTCTGTATGAATGAAAAATAAGAGTCGAGTGTTATAGTTGGAATTTAAATTCATGAGTTGCGTATATTCATTGGAACTTTAGGCAACAGTCACAATGTTTCAAAAGGGGTGGCTTAAGTTCTATATAAACTCAAACATCCCATGTGTTTAATAAATCAAAGAAAAGAGAAGAGTTTTCTCCAACGTCTTAGTAAAAATCCGAGTCGTGTCTTGAAAGTACGGAATATATGAAGTTCGTCAGAGTCCGAAGATTGAAGTGCTTTAACTTTAGATTATAGATTGTTGAATCTTGGGAGACGGACGCCTACCGAACTATAAGCATAAGAGTAGGGGCGAAATTCTATCTTTAGGACATTGCATTTATGTAAGCCTCAGTCTCCAAGTTTGTCCGTTTTTCTATCTTTCTCTTTTGTTGTTTATATTAATCTCATACATAATTGATATTGTGAATTTCTTTATGATTATTATTATTGTAATTCTTGCGTTATTTTCATATTTTCTAATATTGCTCCAACATAACTTATTGATGTTAACATCAACAGCCCAATTTGAGTCACTGAAGCCTTTGATCTTAATACTAGTACTTGAGTGAAAATGTAAACCACGTTGCATAGAGTCTTGAAGAAATCGAAGTATCCTTTTAACTAGATTGAAATGAATATCAGTTGGAGCATTCATGAATTAACAAACATTATTGACAGCAAAGGCTATATCAGGCCTGGTAAAGGTAAGATACTGTAAAACACCAACAAGACTTCAATACAGTGTTAGATCTGATAAGAGTAGATTGATGTGGTTGACAAGAAGTAAAACAAGGCTTACACCCATCCATTCCAGCCTTATGAAAATTGTACCATTAGATTGACCATGGATTTGTAATCCCAAGAAATAAGTCAATTGCCCCATGTTATTTAGATAAAAAAAAACTTTAGCCAAATCAACAATGACATATTGAATATAAGAAGAATCCGATCCAGTGGTGGTTATATCATCAACATACAAAAATAAGATAACAACCCCTATCTCAAAATTCTTAACAAACAAACTAGAATCTAAAAAAAGGTCTTAAACCCAAGAGTAGCTGTTTGGACCCAAAATTACACTATCAGCCATAGCAATCGAGGCCGTTGAGTAAGCATACCTCTATATAGAAAAGTGAAGATAATTTTATTAATATTAAAAGATAACATTATCTTTTAATAATGATTTATCTTGACATTTTCTTATGAAAATAATATATCTCCAAGCTAAATAGGCGGCACAATTCAAGTTGATGTGGAAGTGTGGTTTGGATCAGTTTTGATTAACAGATATGCACGGCATTAGATAAATGAGGTCACTTGGAAACTACTGAGGGGATTGGATTCTGATCAGATTATTATCCATTTAAATATGGTGATAATTAAAAATGAATTTAATATTCATAGGGTCAGGTTGCATGCGACAATGGTAAGGAAATGGTGACTTTGGGTGATGATGATGCGACAAGACCTAGAAAAGCTAGGTTTTTTATGGTGGTGTTATGATGACATAAGAAAGCCTAGCTAGCCTAGGTTTTTAGTCATGATAAGATAAGTCAGAATGGGCTTTTATTATTTTGAAAAGTCAGCCATATGAAGATAGGCTTTAGCGCCTATGTCATGGATCAATCATTTTACGAGTTTGAGTTTCGGTCGGTTTCTGCAACATTATCTGACCGTGGAGAGCAAGTACTTCAGTTCTATAAATACAGAGGCGATGTGCAATGTGAAAGGCCACTTCCAACTCAACACACAAACTGCCATGCGCTAACCCTCGCTCTACGCGAAACCTCGCTCTACGCGAAACCTCCCAAACATCTTGAGATTTTTTTTATTTTCTTTTTTCGTCGACACATCTTCAGTTTGGATAAATAGTACTATGAAGGCAACCGGCGAACACCTTCAATTTAGATAAACAGCACTGTTGCCGTAGAGTCAGCCGACCGCGAAACACCTTCAGTTTGGATAAACAGCAATGCGACGAGGCCAACTGGCTATCTATCCAAGTCTCGGTCGAGAAGGATTTTCAAATCCTTATTGGCAAAGGTCATCTCATTAGCCTTCTTGGCGAAGTGAGGTGTTACCAGGTTACTACATTCGGCACCATGAGAGCCGAATTTGATATTGAACTTCGCAAAACTAGCCGCCTTGTCTTCAAGCTCTAGAACCAGAAGGCTGAGAATGTTCCTTCCTCGGCCGCAGTCGCGAGATTCAGAAGTCAGCAGCGCATCCAACGTAACATCAACAAATTTTACTCCTCAGCCTAGCTCGGCCGACGAGTTGGCACGCCTCTCATACAACCGAAGGACGTAGTTAGCTTACTAATTACTTGACCTACGTGCCACGTTGGTTTAGTAGTTTTTAGGGTCAACAGTAGCCAAGTAATTTGTAAATTTATCATTCCAAGCATATGAGGCTTGTTTAAGTCCATACAAGGACTTCACAAGCTAATTCACCATGCAAAAATGCATTTTGGACGTCAAATTGTCTAAGGGGCCACATGTATATTGCTGCCATTGCTAAAATGATTCTTACATTGGTATGGCGAACTACAGGACTAAATGTCTCTAGAATCTAGTCAATTCTCTTGCCTAAATCTTTGAGCCACAAAATGAGCTTTATAACGAGCAACAGTTCCATTAGGATTCCATTTTATAAAATTTTGATCCAGTAATATTCTTATTAGGAGGTAAAGGTACAAGAGTCCAGGTCCATTGAGTTTGCAATGCATCGTACTCTTCTTGCATAGCTTGTTGCCACTAAGGATAACTGGAAGAAACTAAAACTGTATAAGGATCCTGTGCAATTGGAACTGAACTAAACTATCTTGAAGTCCCATTATCCTATGAAGAATTCTGCAAACTTGAAGAGGAAGACTGAGGCAAAGTCCCAAAACTAGTAGCACCCTGATGTTCTTGAAATAATTGTAAATTCACTATAATATGCCTAAGTGGCATGGCAGAAGGTTGGAATGAAGTGGAGTGTTGTAAATTTGATACACCAAAGGCAAAAGGAAAACATGTTTCATCATGTGTAACACTTCTGGAAATGACAACCTTTGCACTGACCATGTTATAACAAAGAGCACCTTTATAACCAAGACAATATCCCAAGAAAACACACTGAATAGACCTTGGAAGTTTATGAGTATTATAAGTTCTAAGATATGGATAAATGGCAAAACCAAATACTCTCAAAGATGTACGATTAAGTTTCAAATGGAGATTTCATCTTTAAGTTCTTACTTGGCATTCTATTAAGAAAACAAAATGTGCCACTGCATAATACCAAAACTTGAGAGGAAGTGTAGCAGCATTTAACAAAGGAAGAGCTGTCTCTACAACATGTCTATGCTTCCTTTTCCACTAAACCATTATGTTGGGGCGTGCAAGGACAGGAGATAAAGGGTAGAATACCTTTTGTAGCAAGATAATCTTTAAACTTGTGACTTAAAAATTCTCTACCACCATTAGATTGATGACTTTTATCTTGGTATTAAATTGATTCTCAACATAAGCACAAAATCTCACAAATACACCAAAAACTTCTTATTTATTTATTAAAGGGTAAATCCATACAAATCTTGTGGCCTCATCTACAAACGACACATAGTATCTAAATCTATCAACTGCTACAACTGGAGAAGGACCCTAAACATCAGTATTAACCTTATGAAATGGTATATCAACTCTATCTAACTTTTCAGAAAAGGCTAGCCTACTCATTTTTCCAGTAATACAATGAGAACAAGTGTGAGTAATTACATCACTAGAACTTGACATACTAGAGACTTTCAACATTGCTTCCAAAATTTCATTTGAAGGGTGCGCAAATCTATGATGCCAGAGAGAAGGCTTAGCAACTTTGCCTAATAATGCAGTAGAAGAAGGTACACGTGAAGTAAGCAGAGAAGGAAACACATGCATAAGAATCCTAAACATTTCATTGTTGTTACTCTTTCCGTTGTACAGAACCACCCATGTTGCCTTGTCCTGCACAACAAAATTGTATGTCATCACAAATAAACCGACTGTTATTAACCTTGCATAGTTTTTTCACAGAAAGAAGATTTACAGTTAATATAGGAACATGTAATATATTTTTAAGATGAAGAGTGTAAGAATAAGTCTTGATAGTTCCAGTGGCAACATGTTGAACATTCAATTCTTCACAATTTCCAACTATAATATTCTTATCACCAGTGTATAGAACTGTTGATTTTAATAGAGTGACGTCCGTGCTCATATGGTGAGAAGCCCCAATGTCAATAATCCAAGACTCATCATCATAGAAGGTTTGAGTAGTTAATGCTTGCATAGAAGAAGGCACAAGATTCCCTTGATCAGCAGAAATGTCTTGAGAACCAATTGAGGAAATAGCTTAATTGAACACAGAAAGTGCAGGTTGAAAACCAGAATACAATTCTGCAGGAAATGGAGACACTCCTTGAAGACCAAAACCACCAGGTAACATGACATTGGCAAAGCAATTAGGATGCTGAAATTGAGAAGAAAGGTACTGAAAGGCATAGTGAACAGTGAAAGAAGAAGGGTGAGCTCTTTGATAGGCATAATCACCCATATATCTGCAATCAATAGCAATGTGTCCCCTCTTTCCACAAATTTGACATTCTTGAACAACTTGACCACCATCTGAATAGATAAGTAACAGCATTATGACCTTTCCTAGAGCAAATCTGACATTCATGAATGATTTCTTATCTATGAAAAGTATTACAGCCCAAAATTGACCATTTCTGTTACCATTAAACCGAGGTTTATAACCACCATTACCTTTGCCCTTATAGCCATTATTATTCCCAAAAGATCTATTACCTTGACCATTGAAATTGGTAGTATTTGATGGACCAAAATTGTTCCCATGAGATGAGTAACCAAGAAAAAGCATTTGGCTGAGACACACCATTGGACTGAGAAAAACCATTAGGTGCAGATCCAGGAGCAACAAACCCATAACCAAAATTTTGAGGAAATGACATAGCACCAACCGAAGAAGTAAGAGGACCCAGGCATTGAACTGGATGGAGAAAAAAAAAAGAAAAAAAAAGGACTAGGCATATAACCTGAGGAAGAAATGATTGGATTGCCTACATTAGTGTACATAGCAGCCATACTTTGCACAAGAGAATGCATTCTATTTTTAATAGTCTTTTCTGCACCTAACAATTGTATATAAAATTCTTTCAAGCTAATAGGTGTCTCTCTAGCAAGAATAATTGTTTTAATCATTTCAAAGTCAGCTGGAATACCAATTAATGTTGCAGTCATTACATTATGATCTGAAATTGCTTCACCAACAGCTGCGAGTTTATCCTTAAGAACTTTTAGTCCCAACAATTACTTATCAATAGTATCTCCACCCCTTTGTATTGTATGTAACTCAGCTTTCAAATGATTAACATTGGCACTGGAAACTGACATATATCTATCTTGCAAAGCAATCCAAGCATCATGAGCTGTTTTACAACCAACGACATGTTCAATTGCATCATCACTTAGTCTAGTTAATAAAAGACTAAGTAGGGCCATATCAGTTTTAACCCACACCTTACAGGCATTACTAATCTCTTTAGTAACCCCCATGTCAGGAGTAAGAACATATTTGGGTGGACAGATAAAATCTTTAGTAACATGGTCGAAAAGATCATGACCATGAAGCATCAAACAAAACTAAAAATTCCATTTGATGAAATTATCATCATTCAGTTTTATAGTCAACATTCCCAAGAGACTATCCAATTTCACAGAATCAAACATGGTTACTCAACTCAACATTGCAAGAAAAGACCCAAATGAGAAAATCGAATCACAAAATAACCCAGATGCAAAATTCTTCAAGAATCACTCCAAATATCATGAGATATAACTACAAATCTTAGATCTTGACAAATATAATGGTAATTGACCTTAATTCATCAAGTAAGTGTTCGAATTGGCATCGGCCTTCTCAAAGAACACGTTGAACAAAGAACAAACAATTCAATAATCATAGAAAATCTTCATGGCATCGGCCTTCATTCTACACAATCACAAGAATCTAGCAAAGTAGAAAAGCATACAGATCCCCCCCCCCCCAAAAAAAAAAAAAAAAAACCCAAATTCCAAAATTCTTAAAGAAATTGAACTGAATACACAAATATAATCACACCTGATACGAATCGAAGCAGCAGAAATTCATGTCAAGAATCACAGCGCCAGCAAGACTGGCTCCATGATACCATATTAACATATGATCCTATATTACTAAGAAGAGAGATTGAGCAAAGGGAAGATGAGGGGAAAAGGAAACTTAGAGAGTACGAAAGCTTGTATTGTATTGATCTTTTGTTAATTGTACAAAGGGTCGGTTTACCCCTGAACTTTCACCTTACTTTCGATTTCTCCCCTGAACTTTTCTATTGCAAAATTAAGGACTCAAACTAATTTTTTTAGCCAATTTGCCCCCTACCGTTAGTTTTTCATATATTACATCCATATTTCCGTTAAATGAGACCATGTACATAACATGTGAGGATAGTTAAGTCATTTCAATTTAAAAATGATTAAAAACTGAAAATAAATAATAATAATAATTTTCCCTCTATTTTTTTCCGCTAATTCCTATCCTCAATTTTAATTTTCCCTCTCATTCCTATGCATGAGAAATAACATATGGTGTTATTGTCTTCATAAGTAGCTAAGTTAATCTTTTTTTTGAAGCATGTACTACCATTTTTATTTTCTCTAACAAATTAATAATTTGACAAATGCTCATAGTGTTATTGTCTCCAAAGCAGTGCATTAATATAAGAAACATGTCCATAAAAAAGACTAGGGTTTCTTATATTAATGCACTGCTTTGGAGACAATAGCACCATTAGCATTTGTCAAATTATTAATTTGTTAGAGAAAATAAAAATGGTAGACAATAACACCATATGTCATTTCTCATGCATAGGAATGAGAGGGAAAAATAAAATCGAGGATAGGAATTAGCGGGAAAAAATAGAGGGAAAATTTTGCTTTTTTTATTATTTTCAGTTTTTTAATCATTTTTAAGAGTGAAATAACTTAACTACCCTCACATGTTGTGCACATGGTCTCACTTAACGGAAATATGGATGGAATATATGAAAAACTAACGGTAGGGGGCAAATTGGCTAAAAAAATTAGTTTGAGTCCTTAATTTTCCAATGGAAAAGTTCAGGGGGGAAATCGAAAGTGAGGTGAAAGTTCAGGGGGGTAAACCGACAGTTTACTCATTGTACAAATGAGAGAGAGGGAAAATCCCTTTTATACAAAGATATTTTAAAAGGGAGCATTTTTGCTCACCACCATTTAGTGTGGTGTATGCTTACCACCTTATTAATTACCGTTAGATGAGTTTGAATTTCGAGATTCGTGTAGTGGATAAGCACAAATCTCAAAATTCAAACTCATCTAACGGTGATAAATATGGTGGTGACCATACCACTCTAAATGGTGGTGAGCAAAAATGCACCCTATTTTAAAACCGCCTAACTTATCTTACAAGCTAATACAATGTTGACATGGCATTCCTTATCCAACACTTAGAAATGTGACGACAAGAAAACAGTTTTCTTGTGGGCAATCTCGACAGGATGTCAAGGAGAATGTCGGCGGGGAGGTCCATCAGTTGCGTTGTGCTCTTACTGTTGTACTACCTCAGCCTCTTGGTCTGCTGTGACATCTCCGTAGTGCATTGCTTCACTCTCTTGGTCTGCTTTGCTGCGGCGGCATTTCTTGACTCTTGGTACCTTCTTAATCAAACAAAAGCAAATATCACAATCCTCTTCCAAAATCAACTTTTGTTCAACCTTTCAGTAAAATAAAATAAAATAAAATTTTGAGGAAGTTGATTACTTATAAGTTGGTATGTAGAAGCTGAAGCTCATGTGTATATTTGTTTTAAGCAATGTTTTAAAAGGCTCGCCTCAGGGCACACCTAGGCGCCCTGTGAGGCTGGGCCTGAGGGAGTGGGCGGAAGGTGCCGGAAGGCGTCGCCGAAGCCGCCTAGGCGCGCCTTAGGCGATTTTTTTTTTTTTTTAACTCCCAAACCCAAATTTTGGGTAGGGTTTTAACTACTTCATATCTCTTCCTTGCACTATCATCTCTCTACCTTGTTTTTTTATTTTTATTTTTTATATAATGGATGTGTGTGCCGTCCACGTGCATTGTTATATGTGTGCTCATTGTGATTTCCACCCTCTATTTTATATATATAGTATAATATATGTATATATATGTGTGTATATATGTATTTATAATATATATGTGTGCTCAGGGTGATTATTGATTAATAATTTTTTTAATATAATATATGTGTACACTCAGTGTACATATTAAAAAATTTAGGTCCCGTGAGGCTTCGCCTCACGTCTAGGCTGGGCTATCCCTCGGACGCCTCGCCCACGCCTCACGCTTTTAATACATTGGTTTTAAGTGAGATGAATGGAATTGGCCAAGTAGTTAACTACAACACCAAGAAAATAATGCAATATCCCAAGGTCCTTAATGTCAAACTCAACGCCCAAAGTTTGTATGAAAGTAAGCAAACGTCAACATAAAGAAGTAAATCATCATATGAGAGTTGTCTGGATAAATAAACATAGAAGCATCCGCTTGACTTTGAATAAAACCAGCATGTAACCGAAAGGAAATAAACATTTGAAACCACGCACGAGAAACCTGTTTAAGGCCATAGATTGCCTTGTGAAGTTTGCATACGTGGTCCTGCTAGGATCAACAAAATCGGGGGGTTGCTTCATGTACTTCAGAAAGGAAACCATGCATAAAGAAAGGTATTTTTAACATCAAGTTGATGGATGGCCTAACCAGAAAAGATGGCTATACTGAGCAGTACGAATGGTAGTCGATTTCACCACAAAACTAAAAGTGTCAAAAAAGTCAATTCAGGTTATCGGTGAAAACCTTTGGCAACCAAGTTGGACACTAAATTGTGCCATTGGAGTGATGCTTCGGCTTAAAATCCCAGTGCATTATTAAGGGGAGCAGGTACCAAAGACCAAGTGCCTTGTTTAATAAGAGCATTGAATTCATCAAACATCGCTTGCTTCCACTCAGGATAATGGCGTATGTTTAACATCACTGGAAACAATAATGGCAAACGCATAAGGAACTGGATACTAAACTGAAAAATTAGAGTGGATTTTAGGCTTGAAGATGCTTGATTTGGACCAAGTATGAACTGGGATGGCGTGTGCAAAGGGTGGCACATGAGGTAGGGTTGGAAGAAAATCCCAAAAATCCCAAACCATACCCAAAAAATTCCAATCCCGAAATGAAAAAGTTGCTAACCGAAAATCTCAAAAATTTTGGTACCGATCCCGATCGACAAGGGAATTGGTCTCACTACCTTTTTCTTTTTTTATTCTTTCTTTATCTGCCATCTTCACTAACCATTCATTTCCTTTTCTTGTATTTTTATGTTCCTTGATAGCATTATCGTCTGTACACTCCCACTGACAACCATCATCTCTCTCTCTCCCTCCATCGACTCCCTCAAATGCAGAAGCAAGCCCAAGGCCTCCAAATCCTTTCTCAATCTTCAAAAGCAGCCAAACCCACAGCCTGCTCTTCCCAAAACACCACACCCATCGCAGCCTTTGTCTAAGGAACCCAATCGTTCTTCCAAGACTTCAGATCCATAAAGCTTCATGAATTTAGGACTCGGAAACAACCACACATCGATGTCATGGCATCAGAATTCTACGAAGCAATGACATCACAGTAAAGCAGAGTAACCCTCTGATGGCGATTTCATTTGCCAAAACATGGAAAAGCTCACACATTGACGAGGATGAGTAGCTGATTCTGTTCGATGCACGTCGCAAAGCTCTCCGACTCCCAAAGGCAGCGAAGACAAACCCAAGAATAGGAGGAATGAAGATAGGAGTGGGGAGGTCAACGAATTTGGGACGAGGTGTGTCCGTGTGGGCTGGCAAGGGAGTGGGAAGTCAATGAATCCCTAACCATACCGAAATTTCGGTTTGGTTTTGGTTTCCGAAACCCTATCCCGAAAAGGATCGGTTCGAGATTTGAGATCCCATTTTCAGTTCGGGATCCTATACCGAACAAGCCCTAACAAGAGGTGCAATTGGTGCTGGAGACGGAACAGGTACAACATGCTCAGTGGGGACAACATCAAGTGACTCGGTGATAAAACCATGTGGCTTGGTGAGGACAACATTAAGTGAGGATTCCTCAACAGGTGCAATGAGTTCAGTCAATGCTGGTGAAGACAAATTGCTAGGTGGTAGTACATGAGACAGAGGGCTAGACGGCAGGGCTGTGGCAAGTCTAGGAGAAACGGTTGTGGTTGGCTGAATCACAGGTCAGGGGCAGAAAAACTGGAATGGCGTCAGCTGTAGGTGATAAGCTTTTGGTAGTGGATGAGCAGTGTGAAAAGAATAACTCATCTTTCTGAAATACAACATGACGAGACGTGTAGAGACGACTCGTGGGAGGATGAAAGCACCGGTAACCAAGATAATGATCGTTGTAACCAACAAAAACGCAAGCAAGAGAGCGAGATTCCAATTTATTAGAAACATAATCACCAACAAAGGGATGACAAGTACAACCAAAGGTCTTAAGAAATGAGGATGCTGCTGAAACAATGCATGGTAAGGAGAATTCCAGTAAAGAACCAAAATGGGTAACCGATTAATAAGTAAACTGTTGTATAAAAAGCTTTAACCCATAAGTTGTGGGGCAAATTAGCCATATGAAGAAGGGTACGGCCCAGGTCGGCAATGTGGCAGTGCTTGCGCTCCGCCAACCCATTTTGTTGAGGTGCATGCGGACATGGAAAATGATGCATGATCCCTTTGCTAGCACAAAATTGTTTGAATGCTAAGTTGTCATATTCTCCCCCCGATCACTTTGGAATTGCTTGATGGGTATAGAAAATTGATTAGCAACATATGCCACAAGGGTAGAAAAATGGTTAAAGATAACATATGCCACAAAGGTAGAAAAATGGTTAAAGACCTCGGATTTATGACACATAGGAAAGACAAAAAAATAGCGAGTAAAATCATTAGTAAATAATACATAATAACGGAAACCAAATAAAGAAGAAGCAGGAGACGTCTAAACATCGAAGTGAATTTAATTAAAAGGCACAAAAGTACAACTGTCACTAGAAGAAAACGGAAGATGCCGAGATTTAGCTAAGGCACAATCACTATAATTATTAAGTGAGAAGCGAAATTGGAGCCTAACAAAGAACAGGAGGCTAAGGTGCTAAGCACTTTATTTGATGGATGCCTGAGACGACGATGCCAAAGGGATAACGATGCAAACACGG